ATTCAGTGTCGAGAAAAACAAACAAGAAACGCTCGCTCGCCTACTCACCCGCAACCGCAAGCTCGTCCTCTCTCTCAGTTCGATCTCTGCTCGCGAAACCTTCCATCAGATTCTGCAACTTGCTTTCTTCTATCAAGTTTGAGCTTCCACGGAGTTCGGGATCATTGATTAGGGTTAGGGATTTTCCTCGATTTGACCCAAGTAAATCTCAGATCGGCTTCACTGTACTTGGTTTTCCCGTTTTCATAGCTTCGTACCTCACATAGTTTCTGGTTTATGCAGGTTTGAATATGGTGAGAGATGAAGATTAGATTGACAAAATGGGTTGTGTGTTTGGCCGAGAGGCAACTTCATCCTCTGAACCTAAAGTCGCAAAGAGCTCCAAAACAGCAGAAACCGTGCAAGTGAGTAAGAGCAACGGTGCTGTTGTGGAGGTAGAGAAGAAAAAACATGAGGAGGAAGAAAACAACAGTGGGAAACCAAAAGGAGATCGGAGAAAGTCAAAGCCTAACCCAAGGTTGAGTAATCCCTCTAAGCATTGGCGTGGCGAGCAGGTCGCTGCTGGTTGGCCTTCTTGGCTTTCTGATGCTTGTGGTGAGGCCCTTAATGGCTGGATTCCAAGAAAAGCTGACACTTTTGAGAAAATCGACAAGGTACTTTACAGAATTACACAAAAGCTTTTATTGTTTGCTTTTTCTGCTTCTAAAGTTCTTGGATTTGGATTCCTTCCCCTCTGCTAGATTGGACAAGGAACGTACAGTAATGTCTACAAAGCAAAGGATATGCTGACTGGTAAAATCGTAGCCCTTAAAAAGGTTCGGTTTGATAACTTAGAGCCAGAAAGCGTCAAGTTTATGGCCAGAGAGATTCTCGTATTGCGGAGACTCGATCATCCTAATGTTGTCAAGTTGGAAGGTTTGGTTACATCGAGGATGTCTTGTAGCTTATACCTTGTATTTCAATACATGGATCATGATTTGGCTGGTCTTGCTTCAAGCCCTGTTGTTAAGTTCTCAGAATCAGAGGTCATACGCCATTTTTTGTGCCTGTTTTCAATTCCTCTGCAAATATACGGCCAGTTTGGGCTCTTGCTTAGATCAGATTACTCTTCCATATTGCAGGTTAAATGTTTGATGCGTCAATTGCTATCGGGTATGGAGCATTGTCATAATCGTGGTGTGCTTCATCGTGACATCAAAGGATCAAATCTTCTTATCGATGATGTTGGGGTCCTCAAAATTGCTGATTTTGGACTCGCAACAATTTTTGATCCTAATCACAAGCGGCCGATGACAAGTCGAGTGGTCACACTATGGTATAGAGCTCCAGAGCTTCTTCTTGGGGCTACTGATTATGGTGTAGGTATTGATCTTTGGAGTGCCGGCTGTATTTTAGCTGAGTTATTAGCGGGAAGACCTATTATGCCCGGTCGGACAGAGGTATCTGGTCAAATTATCATCTTATTTTCTTCTTCAGTATTTGTATATGAAGTTATTCTTTTCTCTATTGCCCTACTCTCTCTTTCTTTAATATATTTATAAGCATTTATGCACATGCACACACCCAGACATACATAGAGACACAGATAGGTGTACACTGATTTTACATGAACATATAGATTCAAAATTAGTACTGTACTCTGTATTAAAGTAGAGTGGTTCATTGGGTAGTTTTGTTGAATACTGGCACTTGCTCATGGTGCTCACGGTGATCATGAATTAGGTTGAGCAGCTCCATAAGATTTACAAGCTATGTGGTTCACCATCCGAGGATTACTGGAAAAAGGGAAAATTCACACATGGAGCGATATACAAGCCCCGTGAACCATACAAAAGATGCATAACAGAGACATTTAAAGATTTCCCACCATCATCTCTTCCACTCATTGACACCCTTCTTTCAATCGAGCCAGAAGACCGCCAAACTGCAACTGCTGCTTTAAAAAGTGAAGTAAGTTCTTAGGTTTGACTTTTCCGCTGCTTTTCATGAACTTGTTTGATGATCATGAGCAGGTTTGAATCAGTTTACTCTGCTATTTTTTGCGTCCAGTTCTTTACAAGTGAACCATATGCATGTGAACCTGCTGATCTGCCAAAGTATCCTCCAAGCAAAGAAATGGATGCAAAGCGCCGTGATGAAGAAACTCGAAGGTTGGTAACAGTTCCTCTTTAGTGTTTTAATGGCTGCCAACTATCTATTGATAGCCTCTGTTTCTCATGACACTAGAAAATACATTTACAATTTTTTCCACATGTTCATGAAAGCGAGGCCTGTATTCATGTTCAGCATATAACATGAGTCTTGAATTGCTGAAGATGCAAATGGTTGAATGATTTTATACTTTGGTGTACTCTACTCAAATTGTGATTCGCATTCGTGATTCACTATTTCCTAGCATGGATGTCCCACACCGTATTTAGCTGTGCCTCTGGATTTATTAATGGGTAGTTTTTCCTGCCATACCTTATATACTGATGTAGGTTCTGACTTTTGCTGGATATAAGTTATCCTCAACCAGATATAGTGAAGTGAAACACATTTATTTTGGAAATTCAAATACATTGTTGCGTCCACCATTACGTGTTTCTGTTTTATTCTGTATTTGTCAGCATACATAGACAACACTTTTCTCCTGTGCAGACAAAGAGCTGCTAATAAAGCCCAAGGGGATGGTGCAAGGAAGAATCGGCACAGAGATCGTTCAAATAGAGCACTACCAGCTCCGGAAGCTAATGCAGAAATTCAGTCAAATCTTGATGTATGTCCCTGTCAGCTGTTTTCATTTCAATTTCTTCTATTCTTTTTTTTGGCATTTGTTCTTGTGGCCTTTATTAGGTTGCTCCCAGGTGAGTATTATTGTTGTAGATTGGTTTTGCCGTATAGAATTGTTAAATAGGCCGATTTCTATCTTAGCTTATTAGCTTATTTCTGCATGCATGCATCATATGTGATACTCAGCATCTGTAACATTATTATCTCTGATTCTAAAAACAGAGAAGGAGACTAATCACACACGCAAACGCAAAAAGCAAGAGCGAGAAATTCCCGCCACCACACCAAGATGGTGGAGCTATGGGATTACCATTGGGAGCCTCGCAGCACATTGACCCGACATTTGTCCCAGCAGACATGGTCCCGTCCTTCACTTCCACTTCCTTCAATTTTTCAAAAGACGAACCGCCGACACAAGTTCAGACCTGGTCAGGTCCACTGGGTCATCCCATTACCGGCATTTCCAGAAGGAAGAAAGATAATACCAAAAGCAGCAAAGGAAAGAGAGCAGTGATGGCCTGAGAATGAAAAATTGTTGCAAATTCTCTTTATTCAATGTATAACAATGTAAGTGTTTTACTTTATTATTCTTTGTGGCTTCCTGAAGAGAAAAGTGTTTCTTCTTTTCAAATTTGCGTATACTGTCATGTGTTTATAATTATAACTTGATATATAAAATTAGAGGAAAAGTCGTTTAAATACCCAACTTTCAAATTTGGTCACGGACAATTTAAATTATCAGCTTCTGTTCACTTTCTGTTTTTAAATCTCAAACTTTTGTTGACTGTGCTAAATGAAGTATGACTAACGTCACATTTTATTAAAGTTTATTATTATCTTAAATATTTTTATAAAAGAGTATATAAAAAACAATTTTTTAGCCAAAAAAAAAAACATTCAACTTTTAATGATAAAAAATCCCAAAATTTTGTTAGTCAACT